AGATCGTAAAGGTCAAGGTGATGGTCAAGGAGGTCCTAAAACCTCTCCATGGTCAGTGTGATGGTCAGGGTGATGGTCAAGGGATGGTCAGTGTGATGGTCAGTGTTATGGTCAGTGTGATGGTCAGTGTCTCGGCCTCGATGGCCTCGTGCTTCTTCATGGCGGCTTCTACGGCCGGGAGGTCGTAGCCGAAGTTGTCCTGGGGTGGATAAAAAGATGGTGGACATGGTCAAGGTGGTGGTCAAGAACATGGTCAAGGTGGTCAAGGAGGTCCTAAAACCTCTTTGTGGTCATCCATGGTCAAGGAAATGGTCAAGGTGGTCCCAAAATGGTCAAGATGACCAAGGAGATGGTCAAGGTGGTCAAGAAGGTTCTACCAACCCTTCGTGGTCATTTGTGGTCAAGGAAATGGTCAAGAAGGTCCTAAAATGTCTCCATGGTCAAGGAGATGGTCAACGTGGTCAAGGAGATGTGGAAGTGGTCAAGGTGATGGTCAAGGTGGTCAAGAAGGTCCTAAAACCTCTCTGTGGTCATCCATGGTCAAGGAGATGGTCAAGGTGGTCAAGATGGTTCTACCAACCCTTCATGGTCATCCATGGTCATGGAAATGGTCAAGGAGATGGTCAAGGTGATGGTCAAAGTGATGGTCAAGGTGGTGGTCAAGGAAATGGTCAAGGTGGTCAAGGACATGGTCAAAGTGGTCAAGAAGGTCCTAAAACCTCTCCATGGTCATCCATGGTCAAGGAGATGGTCAAGGTGATGGTCAAGGTGGTCAAGGGGATGGTCAAGGTGGTCAAGATGGTCAAGGAGGTCCTAAAACCTCTCAATGGTCAAGGAGATGGGCAAGGTGATGGTCAAGGTGGTCAAGGTGGTCAAGAACATGGTCAAGGTGGTCAAGAAGGTGCCACCAACCCTTCGTGGTCATCCGTGGTCAAGGAGATGGTCAAGGGACGGGCAAGGTGGTCAACGAGATGTGGAAGTGGTCAAGGTGATGGTCAAGGTGGTCAAGGAGGTCCTAAAACCTCTCAATGGTCAGGGTGATGGTCAGTGTGGTGGTCAAGGTGATGGTCAGTGTGATGGTCAGTGTCTCGGCCTCGATGGCCTCGTGCTTCTTCATGGCGGCTTCTACGGCCGGGAGGTCGTAGCCGAAGTTGTCCTGGGGTGGACAAAAAGGGTGGTCAAGGTGGTCAAAACCATGGTCATGGTGGTCAAGGTGGTGCTACCAATCCTACGTGGTCATCTGTGGTCAAGGAGATGGTCAAGATGGTCAAGAACATGGTCAAGGTGGTCAATGTGGTCAAGGACATGGTCAAAGTGGTCAAGAAGGTCCTAAAACCTCTCCATGGTCATCCATGGTCAAGGAGATGGTCAAGGAGATGGTCAAGGTGGTCAAGGTGGTCAAGGTGGTGCCACCAACCCTTCGTGGCCATCCATGGTCATCCATGGTCATGGAAATGGTCAAGGAGATGGTCAAGGTGGTCAAGGGGATGTGGAAGTGGTCAAGGAGATGGTCAAGGAGATGGTCAAGGTGGTCAAGGAGGTCACGCCACTGTCCAGGCCACTCCATGGTCCAGCCCTCAGTGGTCAAGAAGTGCCACCACCCTGATGACCACCTGATGACCACACGGTGACCACCCTGAAGGTCCACCTGATGTCCACTCAATGACCACCCAATGACCACTCCCACCCCATTTCCCACTCAATGACCACTCCCACCAAATGGCCACCCCGCTGACCACCCACTGACCA